AATAAAGTTAACTAGAGATTTTATAGGCTCTGCTTTTCAATTCCAAACAAATACCTAAGATTTTACAGCTGCATCTTCTCAATTTTGTAGAGAAAATCTAGTATGAGTGTGAATTACTTACATTCAGTATTTTCTACTAGAAAATACTATATTAGCTGTTTACCAGTACCATTACAGTTTAGAGCCTTTTTACTAAAAGCCCACACCGTGCTTTCAATCTTAGTATCTGTAGTTTCATTATTATTTGGCAGCTCCATAGATTTAAATCCAAAATGTCTACCAGAGCTTTTCAAATTCATTCTTTGTCATTATATTATCTATGAGCAGTTTAGTTGCAGATTTACTTGTAGCATTTTAATCGGCCAATATTCCTCAAAGACAGAATATTTACTGAAACAGAACTTCAACTCTCCTGAATAGAGAAATCAGGGAATATCTCCAGCTCCAAACGGGAAGTGGTATGCACACTTCAGAAGGGTGTTTGACCAAAAAAGCAGAGCTTTGAGTGAGCAGACTCCAGCAGGATGAGCACGGAGCGCATCCCTGTAGATGCACAGTGTCGAGCTGCTCGGTAGCAGGCACCAGCTGCTCAGTAAATCCACTGTCCCTTGGCACTGAGCACAGGCAGAGCAAGAATTTTAGGCTTCATTTTCTTTCAAAAAGTAAAATACTAAATCAAAATTTCAACCAGACAGTCCATCCTGACTAGACTGACTTTGGGTAGGAGCTGAACCACTTGTTTGTACTACTGGTTGGTAAGACAACTTGGACTCACACAATCTGAGTTCTGCACTCTTCCTTTCTCACCTGGTTTTCCTGAAATGAGTATTGCCAACAGCTCAATAAAGCTCCTGCTCTGGTTCCCGGGTGCCTGTCACCAAGCATCAGGTGATATTGTAAACATCCCAGAGACCTTTTGAAAGCCAGTTCAACAGTATCTGGATGAATTGCTGGTAATTCTCCCCCCATATGCTTCTTCACACATTTGATACATTCTTTTCCAATGGATTCTCAGAAATACAGAGAGAAAGCATTGGCTTAGAACCCTGTTTTAATGTAAATCATAATAATATAGCAATATTTCCCAGTTATCCAGAACTCAGACTTCAAAAGCTGAAAATATAGAGGGCCCAACAGAAAAACTATCTCGCAACAGTGAGGGTAAAGCCAACTCTATCCCATACACACTTCATATACCAGATGCCCTCACTTGTCACACCTAGTGCCCGTGGACCTTAATTACATGGTTTCACAGTAACCATGATAGCAAATAGACATGATAACAGGATGAATTTCAGGCTTAACAATGGCCGTGATTTTCTACACCAACAGTCAATGCTTCATAAGGTGATTATCACAATTGACATAAAAGTTGCAGTCACAGTGAACATTTATGGAATGCTTATTTTGTATCAAGCACTATTCCAAGAGCTTTGCTCATTTACTGTGTTAGCTCACTTAATCTTTACAATGACTCTGTGACAATCTCCTTTAACCAATATCCTCATTTAACTAACTAAAAGGGTTTAAATAATCTGATTAAGATTTTACAGACTGTATGCGGTGGCAGTGAATATAGAACCTGGGTGACTGGGACCAAAACTGAAGTTGCCAGTCTCTACCTAGCATCCGCGAGTTGCTTTCTGCTAGTTTCCATTGGTTGTCAAGAGGACCCCCCGCCAAGATAAAGAATTGTTCATATTTTGAATAAATAATGCCATTCTAGTGGAATGTATGGGACCTCTATAAAGCTTCTGTGAAAGCATGGGTGTCCCCAGCTAAAGTGAAGCTCCTTAGTCGAGACTGGCCTCCCCAGCAGTCCTGACAGTCACAGCACAGCTCACCATGGTGATTCCTGATCCCCATGCAGTCACTCTAAAGGCCCCATGTCATCAGAAAAGTTTTATTAAAGGTAACATAGATCTTAATACAAATTAGAAAAAAAAAATTCACAAATAGATCTAAGTCATGTGCCCGCAAAGAAAGCATTCTTGCCTTGTTTTGAAAGAATTAGAAGGCAAAATTAATTTTTAACTTTTGTAGAAGGATTATTAGTTTGGTAAGTATTACTTCTTAAACAGAAGTGGGAAGCCATTAGTAAATCAAGGTTGCAAGCAGCATTGTACATATGTATATAGTGTGTATATGTGTATTTATATGACTATATACAGTCAGAATTTATTAAATACAGTGAGAATCATAGTTGTGAGATTTTCATTTTATATAAGTATACATATAGGAGACATACATAAGTCATATATATGGGGAAGTTATGTAAAGACATCTTCTTCCCGGGGATCACTTCTTAAAACTTTGAAAGCCACAGATGAAATGATTGAGAATAAAGACTTTGAGGCATAACTGCTTGGTGGCAATTAGGGCTGTACCAATAGCAAGGTGACCTTTATACTCTTATTTTACTTCTCTGCACCTCAGTTTCCACATCTACAAAATGGTGACAATAAGAGCATCTTCTTCTTGTGCAAGACAGTAGCTGTCGCCTGACCCTCAAGAACACTCAATGACTATTACGTTCTCACTTCCCCCCTTCCGTTCCACCACTAACCTAAATGAGGACCTTGTAAAACAACGACACTGCGTGCAGTCATTTCTTTCTATCATCATGGTATTATGATGCTAAATATATACTCATCAAATCTTTAAGAATCACGTGTGTTCTGTTCTTCACTGCTGCCTGACCCAGATAGGAAGGCTAAATATATACTTGCTCTTCAATCACTGACACATGTGTGCTGATCATCACCCAAGCCCTGTGGAGCACAGATAAGGAAGTGGAAGATCTCTCAGCTGGAACCACCATCTCTTGTTTATTACTTGTAGAAGGGACATTACAATTTCACCACACTTGGCCTTCACCTGTGTGCTTATGCAATCCTCACAACATATGAGACCTTTTCAGCTGACAGTATTTCCTCATTTGGCTTACTTTCTGCAGTAATAATTTCTTCTGGAGAGCAGGGAAGCTGACTGACTGCATATACAGGATCCTTTTCAGACCCCTGGTCTACCATAATGATCCAGAGTCATTTGGTCTGTGTGTTTTTATGACTGTAGTATTTTCTTCCTCAATTTTCATGCTTTATTACCATACACACTGAGTTGGTATTTACTCAACCATTACTTACAATTTTTCAGCATTTAGAATGGAAGCCATATATCAAAGTTATTTATTTATATTTTCTTTTTGTGATGCTGAGAATCTTTTTCAGGGCCTCACACATATTAGTCAAGGCACTATCACTGAGAGCCAGCCCTAAAACCATTTTTTTTTCAAGTGTATCTTTGTACAAGTTTAATTTGGTGATTTTTTTTCTTGATCGTGTTAAGGAATGTTATATTTTTATTGAAAATAAAAACTTTTTTATACAATATATTCACATCACAGTCTCCCCTTCCCTCATCTCCTTCCAGATCCTCCCCACCATCCAACTCCGTGCCTCTTTTCTGTCTCTCTTTAGAAAACAAACAGGAAATAAAAACATTAACAAGAACAGAATTTTTAAAAATAAAACATGAAAAACACATACATACCTGCAATGCCACCACCCCCCCAAAAAAACCCCACAACATTGGAAACATAATATACAGGTAAAAGATTGGCAAGGGGAAAAATGCCCAAGCAAAGCAATATGAGATGAGAAAAGTCCCCCCCAAAAGCCATCGAGTTAATTTGGGGCTGGCCATCTATTGCTGGACGGGGAGTTTCTTTTAAGTATAGGTTGTATACTCAGTGAGACTCCATTGAAGAAATCAGTTTTCCCTTGCAAACAGTTGTGGATTGGAGATCGTTTCTTGGTTACCATTGGGACTGTATCCACTTTTCCCTCTCAGCGTTGGGACCTCATCTGGCTTAGACCTGTGCAGGCCCTGCCCGTGCTGTCCTAGTCTCTGTGAGTTCATATGTGTGTCAGTCCTGTGGTGTCAGGAAGACACTGTTTCCTTGGCATCATCCATGCCCTTATAATCTTTCTGTCTCCTCTTCTGCATAGCTCTCTGAGCCCTGAAGGTAAGGATTTAGTGAAGGTATTCATGTTATAACTGAATATTCCAACGTCTCTCACTCTGCACTTTTTCCATTGCGAGTTTCTGTATTAGTTTCTATCTACTGCAGGGGGGATGAGCTTCTCTGCTGATGGCTGAGTGAGATGCTGATCTGCAGGTGTAGCAGAATATTATTAGGAGTTATTTTATAACTATGCTCCTTTAATGGAGCAATAGTATACAATTTTCTCCTGGGTCTATAATCTATCTATTCTCAGGTTCTTGACCATTCATGTCACCCATACAGTATAAAACATGGGTTCCATCTCATGGAATGGGCCTTGGATCATGCTACTGAACAATTCATATATATGTATGAATATATATACATGCATGCTACTGAACATGTTCACATGTACATGTATACACACATGCATACAAACACACACACACACACACACACACACACACACACCACACACAAAGCCTCCAGAGAAGAAATACGTATGATATTTCAAGATATTTGAGTACAAGTAGTGTTAATGCTAAAGTTTCTTCAGAATGTGGGACATCTTCCTTTGTACAAGTAGGAATTAATCTGGGGACAAAGATGGAACTCTTATCTATTGCAATGTTCTTTTCAAGGATGATTTCAAAGGAAATACCACCTTTAGGCTTACTCGCTCCTTAGGACCTTTCCCTCTCTGTCCATTATCTCACTTCTAGTCCTAGGCATCCTTCCCAAATGAACTACCTGTCCCCAAATCCCTTTCTCGAGCACTGTCTTAAATGGGCCCTAAGGAATAATGCTGGAAATGAAGGCACATCTGTTTGACTTCGGAATTGATGACCGACAGCAGCCAGCAATAGATGCGGAGATGATGAGCCAGGAAGACATTTCCAAATGTTAGCATCACCTCCTAGATAGCGAATAAGCTGGCTTTATCCCAGCAGTTACCCTTCTAATTCAATGCATGGCTTTTCTCCTTATTCTACAGGGTCTCCTGGGCAGCCTCAATTCACCAAGTGCCGTTCACCGGAACTGGAGACATTTTCATGCTACTGGACAGTAGGAGACTATCAAGACTTAAAGATCCCGGGATCGGTCCAGGTGTTCTATGCTAGAAGGTGAAGGCTTCATGCCCTTCTGACTTTTCTCCATTATTTTGTCAGTGTGAATGGAATGGAGAATAGGAGTGGGGTGATTCAGATTATGAGTGAGAGAATGTGGGCATGCCTGTGCACATATGCACATGTGTAATTAGGCTTGAGCAATACTGGGACTGAGGACATCTCAGGAGGAACCTCTCTTATGCAGCGTTTTAAATCAGCGAAAGAAATGAAGTGAGAGGAACTGCGTACGTATGAGGGACATCTGTGGAGGCAAAGGAAATTAAAAGTGAGGTGTCCTGCAGTCATGTTGGCAAGTCTGAGAATCCGAAGAGCCTGCACAGATGGCGTGAGACTGAAAACTTAGGAGGGTGATACGGGGAGGGGTCACAGTGATACTCAGAGACAGCACCAGTGCTTGTAGGCCACAGAAAAACACTGAATTCTTCTTTGTGTTTTGAAAAACCTCCATTTGTTTTCTACAGAACAGACCATTGTCTTAAATTAATTAAACTAAATGAGGGAACTTGATCTTGCATTTTTACCCACAGTCCTCTAGACTGACACCAGACAAGGAGAACAAGCATCTAGAAATCCGGTCCTCACGCAGTACTTAAGTTTCATCCCCCTGAAATTTCTTCCTTTTCTCTTCTACCACTTTTAATACACACAGTAAAAGTATACTTCATGGCATGCACTGTGATATTTGAAAATACCTATATGATGTGTAGTTATCCAACCAAAACAACTGTTGTATCTATCACACTGGACATTTATCATTCCTTTGTGTTGGGACCATCCAAAATCTTCTATACTAGATATTTTGAAATACGTAATTAATCATTGGCAATTACAATTAATTACCCTGCTGTGCCACAGAACAAAACTGCACCTTTCACCTTTTCAAATGATAAACACTTTCTTGTCTCTTCTCTTCCACACAAACCCCAAGGGAAGTCCTAAGGGCAACTGCAGGTTAGCTAGGCGACTTGGCCTTAGACTCTCGTCCACAAATCTGAGAATGACACTTTGTACCCCATGGATGACAGGACGGGAAGAAAAACGTATGGGGCAGTTAGTCAGAGCCAGTCTCCATCCGCCCATCCTGACTTCAGCCCTTGCTCACCGAGTGACAGAAAATTAGTCAAGCTGGGCAGAGCTCTGCCTCTTCACTCCTAGGAAGCTGATAATAGATGTAGCTCTTAGTTTTCTATGATGGTTTTCCTTAGATAGAAAAATATGGCATTCAAAAACAGTGCATTCTCATAGTAAGTATACAATAAATAAATAGATAGATAGATAGATAGATAGATAAACAAACAAATATTTTCTTACTATTTAAAATAATAATGATATAGAGTCCAGATTCCAGAGCTATAATAATAATTATTGATTCCTTATGGCTTGTGATTATTGGTAGACTATAACTATTGGTAGACTTTCTAATGCCTACCTAAGTGTTTGATTTACCAATAATAAAAAACTGTAAGTGAATAACCAAGACTGGCCCTATACACCTTTTAGTTATGAGAGGCATCACAGAACACCCCACCCCTGAAGGTATACAGAGATGAGGCAGTTTGGCCACAAATACACCACTTATTCACTTTGAGGTTGATACTGTAGAGAGTTATGGCTCAGTAGAGGCGGATAGACAGATGGATAGGTTCAGACATGAAGGTACGGTGTTTGGGAACACTATTCAATATGTGTGAACTGATTCTGTTATTTCTAAAATGAAAAGGAAGAGAAACCCACAATATGTCATTTTTATACCTTGCTTGGGCAGCTCAGACAATTAGTCTTCAGAACAATGAGAAACTTTTATATAGTCACCATTGACCAAACTGATATGAGAAACAATAGGACAATATCCTGAACTGGTTCCACCCTTGGACGATGGCTTTTCCACCCTCCTCATAGTCACCTAACTTAATTGGAAGCCAAAAGATAAATTCAGAGATATGAAGCCCTCACACACATACTGTCTCTTGCTTTCTTCCATCAGAGCCACGGTAATCTCTCCGCAGGTCTCCCCCCACTCCCATCCCCACATCCACCCCATCCCCATCCTCCCAGGATCCCAGTCTGCACTCAGCCTGGAAACTAACAAGGATTCTGCTGCAAGTGTGACCAGAGGAAGGGAAACTCGCAGATATGCTCAGAAAAGCATCCTTGTATTATCCCTAGTAGAACCTAGAATCTCAAGAGAAAAATATACAACCCTACACACACACACACACACACACACACACACACACACACACACACCATGAATACAAACTCATAACCAAGTGCCAACCCATAACTCCCCAAATCAGGATTTTGTGTTTTCTCTACAAAAATATAAATGCTTTGAATATTCTAGCCAAACCACATAAGCCCTCAGTTCTGTTAATCTGAGAGGGGTACAGTTGAGAGTTAGGAGATCAGGATGAAGCCACACTGACCCGTGGATTCTCAGCACCCACTTACCCAGAAACAATGGCACAGAGGGCACTTCCAACTCGGGTTATTGTTTCTGAGTGATCCTTCCTAGGCAACTCCTGAAACTATAGAACCACGCCTCTCATCCCTGACTCACGACATGGCAGCATGCTTTCAATCCTGTGGAGGCAGCACACACACACACACACACACACACACACACACACACACACACCAGGGAATGTGGTGGTGTGACCAGCCTTCAGTTCACTGGGCTGTTCTTGGAATCCAAAGCACACAAGAGTCTAAGCACGCAGAGCTGTCAGCAAGGCAGAAGGGCACGAGCACTCGTGTTCTGGTTGGACCCGAGCCTAGCCAGGTAAGCTGGCAGAGATGTCCCCAGCTTATGAAAGCAGCTGATTCAGAGCAGACTCTGAAGGCCTGTGATGGAGATGTGGCCAAATCCAGCCTCTGCACTGGAAGGGGACCCAGCATGAGTGCAAATCAGAGGCGGTACAAAGCGACAAGGGCGGCAGAGCTTTTGGAAGACGTCACGGGAGCCTGCTGGAGGTGCCCATATCAACCTCGCTGTTTTAATCGTTTTATTTTACCATTTACTTTAAAGAGAATGTTTTGTATCATCGCACTTTCTCCTAAAGAATTTGAGACTCAATTTACCGGGGTGTAGGACAATGACTAATCTGGCTCCTTTGTCTGAGGGGGTGGGCTGGATTTGTTCCGCCCCAAAGTTTATTTTGCCAGAGAGAGGTGGGATGTGTGTCTTTGTGGGTTCAAGGACTCCAGATGATCCAGTGGCTCTTGGTAGAAGGATCTGGTCATGGTGGTTAATGGTTGGCATCCCTAAGTTAGAATTATTTAAAGTGTGTGAGCCCAGAATCTGGTTTATTTTTATGACTTTTCCACTCTTTATTTTTACTCCAATCCAAGCCTTGAGGGAGAAAATACTGCTTTCACTCTCTGTTTTTATTTTATTTATTTATTTATGTGCTGTTTTTATTTTTAACGACATCTCCTATGGTCCTCATTTGTGTCACGAGGTAGTCTGGGAGCAAACCTGAAGAGTTTCCCTTTGAGGGCTAAGAAGAGTTAAGTAGCTTTCTTAGACCGTGTTATGTCATGTATAGAAAGGGAAGACAGGTACTTCATGTGTCATAAGATTATTTATTTGGCTTTTAGATTTACTAGCTTAAGAGATACACTTTAGTCGGGTTTGGTGGCATGCCTTTAGTCCTGCACTCGGGAAGCAGAGGCTAGCAGATCTCTGAGCTCAAGGCCAACCTGGTCTACAAAACAAGTTCTGAGACAGCCAGGGCTACATAGAGAAACCCTGTCTCAAAAAGACAAAAGCAAGTGGGTGTGTGGTTGGGGGACCCGAGGTTGATAGTTGTGTTTTGAACTAGCTATCCCTGATCTGCCCTGCTTCACATCCAAATTAACTCTTGTAAGTGCTGTGTCCTATGGAGCTAATGGATTTAGAAAACCTAACCAGGGGGTTACACATACACTTTTCAGAACAGGGCTCCTTACATTACCAAAGTCCAGAAACTGTGAAGCATGGCAGAGCTGGATGGTCCCTTACAATAAAGGCAGACCTGCTGACGGCGGGCTACCCTGAATCTTGGCACCATCCTAAGACTCACTGTTTTTAAATTGACACCATTGGTTACATAATACCAATATACTTGATAACGTCTCTGATATTATATGAATGCCTAATTTTCTGGGCAATTTTTGGTAAAACTTTTTAATTCACTTAGTTTGAATGCCAAGATTAAGCAAAAATGCATCCACTCAGGGAGTCACCTGTCCCTGATCTTTTGCTGTCACACCAGACACGACGCATGCGCATACAAAAAGACGCCTTGTCCTTCCTTCCTCCTTTCTCCATTTACTTTCCCTATTAGGGATGAATCTCCTTTTCATCTAAAGACATGCAGCTTTTAAGACTCCCAATTAGAATGCGAGCAACCGTTTGCTGGCTCCAGTTCACTGCCGTTTTAATCCGAAGTGTGTACAAACAGCTGAGCAGCAGCTGTCTCTGCGGCCCCTCTAAATCTCTAGCGCCAAACACGGAGCCTGAGAAGCAGCTGTGAAGAAGGAAATGTAAAGTGTCTTCTGGGCTTCTCATCCCTTCCTTCCAGGCCACGCCTTCCTCCGGGCCCGTGTTCTCATTCATTGCCATCGCTGCCAACACCGCCCTGCAGTGGGAAAGGCTCAAACAGCCCCATCTTGTGGCATCTGCACCTACACAGTCACTACTGTCCATGTGTGTGTGCGTGTGTGCGTGTGTGCGTGTGTGCGTGTGTGCGCGTGTGCGCGTGTGCGCGTGTGCGCGTGTGTGCGTGTGTGCGTGCGTGCGTGCGCGCGTGTGTGCGTGTGTGCGTGCGCGTGTGCGCGTGTGCGCGTGTGCGCGTGTGCGCGTGTGCGCGTGTGCGCGTGTG